ATATATATATATATATATATATTTTTTTTCACTTTCATTTCCTGATTTTCCATGTCCCAAAATGAAAATATATTTCCAGCATTTAATAAATATTTCCTTCAATTCATTGGACAAGAAAAAAATTATTTTGTTAGTGTTTAAATGTTGTCTTCAGTACATCAGGAAAATGGGAAAATGCTTTCAAAATTTTGTTTCTATACACAACCATTTGCATTTCGCAAGACATTCCTAAATCACAGAGATTTTATCTAGTTTTAGTGTTGACTGATGAAGAAGGAATGGCATTGCCAGATAGATGCTTTGAGTCTCAACTATGCCAGAAGGTTTTTCGGCAATCTAAATCCTGTATGCATGGGGACGCATGATAACAAATAGTGCGGTAGATGTTGAGTTCTCTTTTTGTAACTTTCAGAATGCTTATGATTCAATCTGTCGGACCCTTTCCCTGCTCACACCCATCAACTCTCCTATTTCCTGCAAAGTTTTTATCCTACCATCTTCCATTCCAAACCTCCATCTGATGAACTGCTTCTCTCCCTTGGGCTTAGACTGTCCAATGCCTTCTCCAGGTCCTTCATGAACTGCTTGATCAGGATACCTTCTGCCATTTCTGCTTCTGGATCTGCAATTCCTTCCTGCACACAACACATGTGATCTTATCAGAAAAGGTAACAAAATTCAATGTGCAACAAGGAATGTAGAAAAAAAAATGGGAAAAGGGTGCCACATTAGATGTCCATGGGAGTTAGGGAAAGGACTGACCGAGGGTTTTAGATTTTGGTTGATTCCAATGTTCTGATCAAGTGATCTGGGAGCTTTAGCGGTAAGTAGAACAGCATTGAGCCTCTTCATCTGGAGACCTGCTGCTTCAGCAATTTCTTCGTTGTATGGCTGCCTTCCATTTTCAGTATATAATTGTTTTCTAGCCTCCTTTACTCTATATGTTGCCTCAATCATGTGAAACTGTAAACCAAAAACAATGCAAATAGACGTATTTAATTTAGAAATGACAAAAGTCTGTGCACTTAAGCTAGTGAATCTAAGTTCAGGAACTTAACTATATCGCGCCGGCAATCAAATTGTCCTTGATTGATCAGAAAGAGACTTTCTAATTGCTTGTTTAATCCACCAATGGGCATAGGTTGAGAACTTGAAACCCTTAGAAGCATCAAACTTCTCAGCACCACTTAAAAGGCCTCGACATCCTTCCTGCAAGTCCAGGTAACAAAATTAAGATATCACTGGCATAGAACCTAAAATATCTGTCTTTCCTGCTTTTCTTCAATTTTTAGCTTTTTACTTGCTTAGTTTTACCTTGAAGTCAATAATTTCAGCTGCACAAAATTGAGTACAGACCTGAACCAGATCCTGGCGATTCATCCCAACTCCTTGAAAATTCTTTGCAATTGAAATAACAAGTCTTATGTTGCTCTTAATCATTTTGTCTTTGCAAAGAATACCATGGTTTAATCGTTCCCTTAAGGTTTTCCAATCAACTCCAGCAGCAGCAGCAGCCCATTGTGCAAAGGTTGGCTCAGCACCACATCGCTCTGTAAGCTCCTCATGGAGTTTTTCCAGTTTCAGTAGATCCTGAATTACATAAGTGATAGATGAGATTTCAGAAATCTCAAAATAAGGAAAGTAAAAAGGGAACAATATTTTAATAAAACCATTTAAGCCAACAATTAACACATGCACGGAACAGGCAACTTTTATTCAGGAACTTCACGTGGACATTCATGCTCTTTCTGAATTGATATTCTAGAGAAAACATTATTTCCTTTTTTGGGTGCACATGGTAGACCAAGTAGCAGCTCTTAGGAAGGTAAGACTGACTAGCATCTAGGTCAAGTGTAAGCTGTAGCAAGTAATTTCTGGGAACATTGAATCACAACTAATGGAATATGAACTTTTCTTTGTCATATCTGTATTCCTTCTGATAATACCAGTTCTTCAGTAGCGGTAAGAAGCCTGGATGTGCTAGTAGTTCCTCTCAAGAAATGCAATGGATTGGAGTATCTTGTAAAGAAGCATGCTTTTTCCAGCTAGATGAACCAGATTTAATAGAAAGAACATTAGCACAGGCCTTCTCTGTGGTTCTTGCTCTTCTGTCTTTTCGTTCAGTTTGGCCTTACAGCCATGCTTCTGGAAAGTTGCTCTTCAAGAATATCA